CTTTCACAATACAAGCACTTTGCTAGGTGCTTACTATGTATGTGCATCTTATTAACATATCCATCATCGTAGATACTAAATAGAGCATACTTTGCTCCTATGATGCACCTTTCACATACTATGGAGCCCATCATGCTCGTACCAATGTAGTAATACTGCTGACAACGTTCTTCGCTCCATTCTACACCCCTCGCATAGCTTTCTTGACACACGCTCCATTCTACATATGCATTTCTCACACTTCCTTCATAACTCAATCCGTATGGATAGCGCACTCTATATCCATCTTGCAGTTCACTCCATTTAATTAGAAATCCATTCCCTCCTCACATCACCCCACTGGCTAGTCCTCCTCGTACTCCTACGTTTTCCAAATCTTATGGAGAGTCTAACAAAGACCACATACACTTCTCCTCGTCCTTCTCATTCGTATCGTAAATCCAGCCTATCTTATGGGGACGATGTTGCATACACGTCCCACAATAAACCAGAAATATGCTGCAACAGCACCACCCACACGCCCAGCGCCACTCCTTAGAGTACTTCAACCGTTTCTCCGTTTGACACACTAAGCACCGACTTTTCTTCACTATATTTACCATGCTATTGCAATGCTTGCAACAACTGAACTGCCTCCTCTCCGAGCGCTGCACTAATTTAAACACATATTTCCAAGGTCATACCTTCTACCACTCACGACCTCAAGGTCACATTTCAAGGTCATATTTCAAGGTTATATTTCAAGGCCATATATCGATTCAAGGTCACATTTCAAGGCTATATTTCAAGGTAATATTTCAAGGTTATATTTCAATGCGATATTTCGATTCAAGGTCGCATTTCAAGGCTATATTTCAAGGTTGCATTTCAAGGTCATATTTCAAGGTTACATTTCAAGGTCACATTTCGAGGTTAAATATGCGTTCAAGGTTGGCTCCCAAGGTCGACTCTCAAGGGCGTTCTAGAACAGACAAACCCTACCTACTGTTAATAATTCGTCTTCGTAATCCATCTTCAGCTTTGCCAAACGACAACCTGAACTGTACTTTTTTAGACAAACTTATGCATGATTCTGGGCCGGTAAACTATACGTTAGGACGCTCACACCAATTCAGTTTAATTTGCGCAAATTTGCATGCACAAGTTGATTGGCGGAAATTACTTGAGCGTGAAAACGCACTATTAAAGACGAAGCTGCTAATATTATTCGCACAACTAGACCACAAAATTGGCCTCAGTTGAAAGATATTTTAGTTATATTTTTCAAAGACAGTAGAGATGAAGATAATTTGTTGCGTGAACTCAGTGCTTGCTTTCAAAAATCGAGTCAATCCTTTACTGAATTTTACCAAGAAATGTTGGACAAACTTCATGATTTGAACGATTATGCTTTAGTTGAATTAGGTGATGCTGCTACTCATGCTATGTCGATGTATCGACGAAGAGCTTTGAATTCATTTTTAACTGGCATTAGAAGTCCATGCAGCGAATATCTAACTATGCATAACCCTCTTAATTTAGAACAATGTCTACAATTATGTCAAAAAAATGATAATGACCAGTCACAACGAGAGTACAAAAAATATCTCATAAACCCAAGCCCCAAATCCCAAATTCGAAACCACCAGTGTTTCCAAAGTCCAACCATAATAATAATATTGTACCAAGAAATAATTTTACTTCGTTTAGGCCACAGCCTTTTAATTATTTCTTTCCTAGACCCCAGTCTAGCTTTAAGCAATCGTTCACTCTTCGTTTCCCCGGGAGACCGAATTTTAATTTTCCACAATCCCCTCAGTCTATGAGATCGAATTTTAGTTCGCCACGATTTTCAGCAATTCAGAATGCTGCTAGACCCCAAGTAAATCGACCCACACCTATGTCGGCTTCTACAATTCAGAGTCATAATCCAAATTTCAATCAATGTCCTAATTTCTTTACAAATAATGTACAAAAACCAAACTTTATTTCTAAAGAACTTACGAACATTCAAGAAGACACTTCTCATAATCCCTATGATTATTCCCAAGATTATTCTGAAGGTTATGTTGAATATCCACCTGAAAGTTATGACCAATATTACCAAGTCTATGAACAACCATCTACTTCGTCTCAATCCCAACAAATTAACGACGATTCTTTTTTAGACAAAGACCAGTCCCCCTTCGAATTAGACTTGAATACTTATAACAACTCTCATTTACCTTATATTTAAGGTATCCTAATAACTAGTTTCCTTAAGAGACCATCTCCTTAATTCAGCAGTACGCTAGAATGACCATCCCCTTAAGGTGACCGTCTTTTGTCGGTCATTTCTTCAAATAACGACTGTTTGCACAGCTCTCCAACCCTATATCTCAATTTCTAAGATTTACAGGTGTTGCTTCTAGAGCTTTCTGGAATATTTCTTTGTTTAAGATTTAGCATAAACATCGCTGTGCCATCATTCATGATTCATTCATTCTCTGACCGTTCTAAGTTATTATTCTGTACTACAACAATTGCACTGTATCGACCGAAGTCTTATAATAATAAAAAAAGCTACTTTACTGGAAACAAACTTTTATTTATATGTCTGTTTATATAGCTTTATTGTCGGATAGAGTTGATGAAGACGTCGCGAGTTCACCTGATTACATTCCTAGTGATGAGGACGGCAATACCAAGACGATGTCGGCGTTGGGCTGGAATGATACATCAGACCTAAGAAAAATAGACTTTTCTGGAAACCCTGGCTTGCGACTAATGCCTGACGGCAAAAGTCCTTACGATTTCTTTAGTTTGCTTGTGACGGACGATTTATTCTATCACATAGTGGAATAATCGAATGTGTATGCCAGCGAAGTATTCCTGGAGAAGTCTACCACAGAGAAATCACGCATCACGAATTGGTTTCCACTCACACTGCCTGAATTCAAGGTATTTCTTTGTATATGGCTTCAGATATTAAATGTGCACATGAATCGCTTACAGGACTCTTGGCGGAAGGATGATATCTTTGCAATTCCTGGACTACAAAAATACATGGGCAGGAATAGGTTCATGTTAATAATGAGGTGCCTGCATTTCTCCAAAAATCCTCGCCACGAGTGAGACCCAGGTTTCGGTGACCGTGTTCATAAAATAAGGTATGCGCAGGATTATTTCAACAAACGGATGGAAGAGGTTTACTATCCTGGGAAATCGTTATCCTTAGATGAGTCGATGGTATTGTGGCATGGGAGATTGTCGTTCCGGCAGTACATAAAAGGGAAGAAATGCAAATAAGGTATGAAATTATATTTATTATGTGAACCAGATGGTATGATTTTACGGTGCTCAGGTATAGTTGGGCGGCACGGGACATACTGAAAAGGTAGTTTTGTCACTGATCAAAGGCTTCGAGAATAAAGGACATGCGAAAGACAAGGCGAAATCATTACAAAGTATTGTCAGGGCATTGCTGTGGGTAAATGGCGAGATAAGAGAGAAGTTTTGTTCTTATCGACGTCATTTTGAGGATGGGTGGAACTAACAAAAGGCTATTGTCAGATATAATGACAGTAAAAATGGATTTAGTACAGACGATTACCATAATGAGATCAATTTTGACAATTATAAAAAGTGATTGGAAGAAAAGTTAGTTCCAAACCTACCTCCCAAAAGCGTGGTTGTTATAGACAGCTCACCGTATCATAATAAACAAACAGCACCCAACTTCCTCAACAACCAAAGCAGAAATGATGACCTGACTTCGTCACAGAAATATCTTTTTTACGGACGACATGCTTAAGCCAGAACTGTACAATTTGATAAAATTGCATAAGCCTGCTTATAAGTTTGCAATAGATAAAATTCTGCATGATGCTGGGCACGATGTATTAAGATTGCCACCCTATCACCCCGACTTGAACCCTATAGAACTCGTATGGGCAGCAATGAAATCTCACGTAGCATGTCTCAATAGCGATTTTAAATTTTCCGCTGTTTTAAAACACTGCGATGAGTTTTGAAATACTTTTGGGAGTGAGGAGTGGAAAACGAGATGCGAGCATACAAAGAAGCTTGAAAAACAATTTATAGAACGCGAGACCACGGTTGATATTGTGGATGAATTCGTTATCAATTTAAATCAAACTGATAGTGATAGTGATTCTTTGGAAACTGAAGATGAAGTTTCAAAAGGAAGATAAAGATAGCAGAATGTTGGGTGTAGAATCAGTAGGAGTCTCTACGAGCCCTGTCCAGCTTCAGTTGGTCCACACACAAAATTTGTATTTTTTTTTGACATTTATCAACAAAAAGCCCACTAGAATATAGGAGATATAAAAGATATAAGACAAAATATGCTATTTATAGCAATTTAGGAAATATATGGATTCAATAGAGTATGCTGTGTCATAAAAAATCGACAACTGTAAAAAACTTCAATATCCAAATATTGCTAACGATGATTTGTCAAGACGGACGTGGTAACAATGCTTTTTTGTCAACGACGCTCGCTTGTTTTAGCGAACCTTAGTTTATCAGGCGGCCGTACCTCGTAGTTGCTGTCAAAAATGGGCAGCGGAAAGGCGATAGATGAAAATATTCGATCAATTATCATTAATTTGCATAAATCGGGAAAATCAAACGGTGAAATTAGAATATTGCTCGGGTTATCTAGATACTGTGTTCGAAATATTGTAAGATTATACGAATCAAATGGTTCAACTGCCTAAAAATCTAGATATGTAAAAAAATCCAAATTAAGACCTTGATAAACGAGCTTGTCATTTAGAAGCAAGAAAACTAGGTTATGGTACTTACAAGGTAAGTTTCACGAGTTCAATCCTAAGCAACAACAGATAATTATTGTTTCCTTTGGAGCAGGCTAAAGAAAAAACATTATTGACCCTAAAGGGGCGTTTTCCTAGCGACGGGTTTTTTGCGTCGTGGTCAACGTGATACGTTGAGCGTTTTACGTCGAGCACTTCCTCCTCGAAATTTAATGGGAGTGTTTTCCTAAACGGCGCATCACGTCAGCGTGGAACGTAAAACGTCGACGGAATAGATCCGACTGCTTTCGGAGAAGTCTATTCCGTTGTACGCTGCGTGATTTGCTTTGAGCGCACGTGCTACATTGAGGTTAGGAAGCGTGTTATCTTGTGTATACTGCTGTAAAAAATGTCACAAAGTTCTGTGAAACTACCAACGGTGAAATTTTCTGCCGATGATGACGAAGTACTCATTGAATTTGTACAGAACCATACAATATTGTATGACATGAAAGACCCGGACTTCAAGAACACAGTGAAAAAAGACCTCATTTGGATTGAAGCTGGAAAAGTTTTGAATAAAGAAGTTACGTTTTTTAAACCGTTTTAGTATGATATTTATTGTTATTATAAGTATTAGTAACAGTAGGTTGAATAATGTAAATTATATTGTTCTAAAATAATATGGTAAGTCAACAAGATTTTCAAACGGGTAGATATAGGGATTGATTTATAGAATAACCTCTTGAAACTGTAGTTATATAACAGTAGGTAGTGCTTTTAATGTGAGGGAATGCATCACTGCGGACTGAAGTAATTAGTGAGCTACCTCCTCACTTCAAATCCTTCAGCCCCCGCAAAACCACCTGTACCTGCTAGATTGATAAGGTTTTGGGTTGGGAAGCCCTCCAGATTTGGCGTTATATCTACTTTTGTAGGATTCAATGATAAATAATCATCCCTCAGCATGTTGCAGCACACCACAATAATCGAGTCAGTTTCAGTTTCAGTTTTCAAATTTATTGGAATAAAAAAAATTCTGAAAATGGTGCTCATGATACCAAAAGCGTTTTCAGAAGTTCTTCTGGCTTTGCTGAGGCAGAAGTTGAACTTTCTTTTCTTTTCATCGTGCAATATTTGTGCTCTGGGATAAGGCTTCATCATATGTTCACTCAAACTGAATGCATCATCACCAACTACTACGTGAGGTAGCAAGGTGTGAGAGTTTGGTAGGTATTTTGGAGGTGGAAACATCATGGTTCCATTCTTCACTAACTCTCCCATTTTGGACTTTTTGAAAATCCCTGCATCACCCTCCTACAAGAGGAAAAAAAAAGAAGAAAGAGGCTCTACAGGAAAGGCTACAAAGAAAAAAAGAGCGGTGTATTGGGAGCGGCTGCAATTTTTGGATACTGCGGGAGATGAAAGAAGCAGCTTTACAAACGTTCTTTCTCCGTCCAGTAATGAAGCTTCAAATCCCGAGGAACCAAATATTAACAATCTGGAACATTCTGAGGAGCACGAGACTCCCGAGCGAGCCTCAGAGCGACCACCAATTATATCTTCTATACCAGCCTCAGATTGCCATGAGGCCATCTTTCGAACGCCAGCACCAAAATCGAGGAAAGAAAAGGTTGCAATCCAAAAATATTTCCAAGAAAGAACAGAGGACAGATTACATTTGAAACGGTGCCTTGACGACATTGTGGGACAGCCACTACCCGAGGACAACGAAATAGATTTGTTTTTCAGAACTATGGCAGCCACTGTCAAAAAATTTAGACCAGACCTTGCCACCAAAGCAAAATCGAGTGTGTTTAAAATTATTACTGATTTGGAAATAGTAAACCAGCAATTGCTTTTGCCAGCCAATGAATTTCATTCGGATTCCTACTCCTCATCATCGTCACCGTGGACTCCATTCATCCACAGAACCTACCTACACCAGCTTGGACATAATATCAGAAGCAAAATAAGAAGTATTGTTTGAAACGTTTTTTAACTTACCTTAGCGTTAACGCCAATTTTTCTGCTGCTGTTATTGGTTCTTTGACTCTGTTATAGGAGGAGGTTGTTATATCTTCTTCAACGAGGCTTAAAACAAAGGAAAACCGTTCGCGGGTCAATCTAAAATAGCTTTGAAACTTTTCTTCTTCATCACGGAGATGGCGCTTGATCAAAGTGTTGTATATTCCTTCATTCATGCGTTTTTGGAACACAGCACTCACTTCCTTCCTGCTCTCAGCCAATTCCCTCAAAATTATTTCTTCATCCCTGTCATCATCTATGATTTCTGTTATTATTAGCATCGCAGCGAGTTTTCTTTTCCTCCGTATTACCTCCATTTTTTAAAACTGCAACTGAAATCTGGCACCACCTACGTTGACTGAAAATGCGTCTCTAGGAAAACACTTTCACGCAGCGTACTGCATTTCACGTCCCTGCCAACGTGATTACGATAAATCGGTTCCGCGCTGCGTAAAAAACCCGTCGCTAGGAAAACGTACCTTAAAGCAGAAGCAAAACAGGTTAAAATGTGCTAAAAGCCACCGAAATTGGGATATGGAGAGGTGTAATCGTGTGCACTGGAGTGACGAGTCACGATTCGAACTTTGCGGGTTGTTAGTCGCCAAAAATATGAAACTTATCATCCTGATTGTCTCAAGCGCAAAGTTAAATTTCCATCTTCAGTAATGGTCTGGGCTTCAATGTCGGCAAGAGGTGTTGGCAAATTACATTTTATCAATGGCATTGTTAACTCAGATGAATATTTAGACATCCTAGAGAAATTTTTGTTGCCTACTTTGGAGCAGAGCAGGTTCTCTGGAAATGACTTCATGTTCCAGCAAAACGGTGCTGCCATACTTCCAAAAACACCATGAAATGGCTTCTAGACCATGAAGTAGCACTCCTAGAATGGGTTTCTAGTAGTCTGGACCTTTCACCCATCGAGACCTTAGGGCACATCATGAAAAAGAGGCTGCGAGCCAATGCTGCCAGGACTTTGCAAGAACTCAAGGAAAAACTGCAGAACATTTGGGATAATTTCACTACAGATAAGTGTCAGGACTTAATAAATACTTAGGTCGACGAATTGAAGCTGTAATTAAAAATAAAGGTGATGTTACTCAGTGGTAAAATGAGTTACGAATTCTTGTTTCTTAGAGATAAAATTCACAAATTTTGTTGTTTCCCCTTTTTTCGCTTAGTCAGTTCCAAGTGTTATTAGTTTAGTTTTTTGTGTAATAGAATTTTAAGATGCTGTTTGCAAAATAAAAATTAAGAATTATGCCTCTATTAGTTTGAATGATTGTCAATATATGCCAATAATTGCAAATTTACCAAGTGGGCCAACTGAAGCTGGACGGGGCTCGTATAGTGTATGAAACCGATTCTGATAAGACGTACAGCAATCTTTGAGGCTGATGATGATAAATGAAAGTGCAGATTCAATTCTGTGAGATATGTGTAAACTTCTCTAAAGGTGCTGATAGTTTGGATAGTAAGCTGTTGATTTAAAATTTTCGTAAATGATAACAGAATCTTCAGGGTTCAAAACCCCCACCTGAAGCTTTTTTGTATTATGTTTTTCAGTTAGATTCAATATTTCTTTCCTTATTTGAGAAATTAAGCTTAGAACAGGGCATATCTGAGTGCACGAGATGCAAAACTCGATAATTGCCAAAAATGACTTAAGCACGCCAACTTGTTGGTACACTATAGAATTATTATTTTACACAACTATTTAGAGCAAAACTAGCTTTTTGACACAGGAAATCAGTCCCAAAAATCATGACGATGCAAAACTCGCTTAGTGCATTGACGCTCGCAATGCAATGCTCTCTATTTGCAAGGCGTCCAGTCACAGCATGGGAATTTACTCGCGTGCTTAGAGAAGTGCATGAGATGTATGTTTTCATGTATAGTTTAACTCAGTCGCGTTTTAGCAGTGTTCTGACTTGTTTAACTTCAAGTTGTCTGTTATAGTTATTAAAATGATAGACAGTGAAGTTTCTGCAGCCAATGATAGTGTTAGTTCAGGAATACAACCTTCCCCAAAAAACATGCGTAGAAAGAAAATAATGAGAGAAAGTAAAAGGCAAAAGTTCAAAAGAATAAGGTAATAAATGATATCGATTTGTTTAAATACTTGTTGTTTTATAAAACTGAATTATTTTAGACGCACCCCGACAGATATCGGAGTTCCCGACCTGTGAACATAATGGCCAACCAGGTACACCGTATTATTGTGCCACTTTATCAATGAGCCAAACCAAAGATTTCCATAGAAAACTGTATGCATCTAAGGGAAAATGTAAATAAGATAGTTTTATAGTAGCAAGTTGTGAAGGACAGAATTGCAAAAGAACTAAAGTGACAAAGGAGAAAATCTATATTTATATGGATATAAAAACGTTTGCCGAAAAAATCCGTGTTTGTAAGACAGCATTTTTAAAAATCATCTCTCTTAGCAGATATCGAATTGAGGGGTGGTGAAAAATTTTGCTTTAAACGCAAATATGGCACGAAAAACAAGAGGAGGTGATCGCATCCTTAATAAAAACGTTAATAAGAAGTTATCAATAAAACATTTTATAGAATCTCTCCAATGCGTAGAGAGCCATTACTGTCGAAGTAAAACCAGTTTTCGTGTTTATCTACCATGTGAACTTGACTTGACAAAATTATGGAAAATACAAGGTGAGGCATAATAGTGGGGCGTTTTTAGAATGGCTAGTACACGCAAACAGGTGGGGGCAGAGGGCCGCGGTTGACATCATTAGATTCAGGAAAGCTTTGGTAGTGAGAGCATCCCGCGTTTGCAGTAGAGGAGTATTTAAAATCAGGCCAGTCCGTTATTGTTGTGCAGCGGCGCTTTCGACATCGCTTCAATATCGGTCAAAGCGGTTCAGTTCCTAAACGTGACACAATCAACAGGTGGGTACATAATTTTAGAACGACGGCATCAGCAGATAATCCAAAACCTATAGACCGTCCCCGAGGTGCATGGATACCACCTGCCGTAGAAAGGGTAAGACAAGCAGTAAATCAAAGTCCACAGCGTTCTGTCCGAAAACAGGCTGCAGCACTTCGAATGAGCAGTCGAACGCTTCGCAGGATTTTACACCAAGACCTTAAATTTCACCCCTATAAGCTCATGGTTGTCCAGCAACTGAATTAAGGAGATTTTGCTCATTGCCAGCTATTCGCTGAGAGAATGCAAATGATTTTTGCTGATGAAAATAAACCTGTAATAATGATGAGCGATGAGGCTCACTTTATTTATGCGGTTCTGTTAACAAGCGGAACTGCCGATATTGGGCAGCAGATAACCCCGTGAGCTGCATCAACGCCCACTTCACAGTGAAAAGTCACCGTTTGGTGTGCCGTGAGCCACCTTGGATTAATCGGCCCTTATTTCTTCGAGGATACACAAGGAGCAACTGCAACTGTAATCTCCGAGCGATACGTTTTTGTTGGAACATTTTTTCATCCCAGAATTGCGACGACGAATAATCGATACAAGAAATGTTTGATCCAACAAGACGCTGCCACGCCACGGCACATACAGCCAGAGCCTCGATGGAAGTTGTGCGTCGCATTTTTCCTGGACACTTAATCTCCCGCTTCGGTGATGTGCCATGGCCCCCTCGTTCCCCTGATCTCTCAGCTGCTGATTATTTTTATGGGGATACCTAAAAGCTAAAGTCTATGCCGATAAGCCTCGAAACCGGCAAGAGTTGAAACAAGCAATCACAGCAGAAATTGGTGCAATTGACATCGACTTGTGTGGGAGGGTGATGCGGAACTTTGCAGAACGAATACAGCAGTGCATAGCCGAAAACGGTCGTCATCTGCCTGACATTATTTTTAAAACATAATTTCATACGTAAGTTGTTAAATGGTAATATGTAAGCTTCCATTTTTTTACAATAATTATTTTTTTTTAGTTAAAAAAACAGCGGTGCTGTTGCTCTTACAAAAACGCCCCTCCATTATGCCCCACCCTCTATACGACTCTAAAGTTCAATATAACGAACTACAAGCCCCCACTTCAGTTGGCCCAACTATTGAAATCTTAGTTTTTTTTCTTATCAAACACAACTAATAAAAATGTAGCAGGGTGTTATAGGTTTAAAATATTAACAATGAATATTTTGATAATATATAGTAGAAAATACCAACTTTATCACTCCCTAATCAAATTTGCGGCATAAAAATGACACATGTTGCAATTACAGCATATCAACCTATTTTCATTTCAATGCAAAATAAGTCTATAACGCATAGGTGGCTGTGAAAAATAAAAGCCATGACAATTGTTTTTATTAATCACAGCTGTCAGAATACGTTTAAAATAGTTTTGGGTAGTTAAGGTTTTCAAAATGAGTAGAGGAAAGGTTATTAGTGAGACAATTCGGTTACTGATAATTAAATTTTTTAATTCTGCTAAATCAAACTCAGAAATTGCAACTTTGTTAGACTTATCGCGGTACAGTGTGAGAAATATTGTTAGAACTGGTTCAGTTAATATTAAGCCACGATATGTGAAAAAAAGTAATATCACAAATGCCGACCGAAGAGCATTAAGAAGAATAATCGTGAAAAACAGGCGTGTCAATTATTTACAATTAAGTGCTCTGTGGAGTGACGCTGTTGGAAGGAGAATTTAGAGGTCCACAACTCATAGAGAGGCCAAAAACTGGGATTTAGCACTTGCAAGGTCTTGAGGTGTATTCTGTTGTGTGTATAACTGTTTTTTTCAAAACAAAAATTCCTCATAAAAATTATTATTAAGGTTGAAACTAAATAATTTCCAACATAAGAGCATCATTTAAGACTTTAATTCTAGTTTTCGCTATGAAAGGCAAAACTCTTAGCTCTCAATCACAGGGCTTGGTAGGGTAAACCCTATAGTTATTGGACACGACAGTTATGGGACAGTTCACTTACGATCCCTGAAAATAAGGTTCAAAATCTTAGTACTTCGTCTATCAACCGATAGATGGCTATATCAGTTGACTTACAAGGTCTCAAAACTAAGTCAGCGACATCTTTGCTTTGCTGAATAGTTTTGTATAAGTAGCAAGTGATGCACGTGAGTGAAGGTACGTATTCGTTAAGTTTTTGTTTAGGATAGAGAGTAATGTTTTTAAATACTGTTAGTTTATTTTTAGTTTGACCGTGATGCTTGTCATGTCATATGACTAAGTTTATACATATATAGACGCACTATTGTGAGTACTCACATATCCTATTATTATAACCTAAAAGTTTATATGTCCAAAAATTAAACTGAGAAATGAGGAAATTTCTAATATTGGACAGGTGTCCAATAACTGTATATGAACCATTTTGTGTAAAATCTATGCCAATCAACTAAAAACGTTTAGGTTTCTTCGATATACTTTTTACAGATATTTCAGAGCACTTTGAACAGTTATTGGATGGATGTCCAATAATTAGAGATAGAGTGTCCAATAACTGTATAATATGTTTATTTTTAGTGACTAACGATGCCTAAGGTCAAATACTATGATAAAAGCAACATAGATAGGGCAGTGCAAGACGTCATCAACAAAGTTGAATCATATAGATCTGCAGAATTGAAATATGGAGTTCCGAAATCGACTATAGAATTTAAAATTAAGCATCCTGATCACAAAAATACTTGTGGTCCCTCACCTGTTCTCAACGAAGAGGAAGAGATGATATTGGTGAAATAAATGGATTAATAATATAACTATTTATTGTCTATTATAACATTTGGCCATAGATTTCTAGCTGGATCCTAGAAACAGCACGAAAAGGATTTCCAAAGAAGGCGAACGTCCAGTGTTCAAAATTTTTTAAATGATCATCCGCGGAAAAATCTTTTCAACAACAATAGGCCTGTCGATGGATGGGTTAAAGTATGACTATAAAGCAATTCATAGCTATTTTTTAATAAAGATCATGTTTTAGGCTTTTCTGAAAAGGCATCCAGAAATTGTTGAAAGAAGTAGCGAATCTGTGAGCGCAGCTAGTGCGTGTGTATCCGAAAAGGATATCAGACTATGGTTCTCTGAATTAGAAACTTACATAAAAGGAAATGACTTGGAAGATGTGATATCTGATCCTACTCGAGTATATAATGCGGATGAAACAGGATTTGAAGTTAGCCCTTCTACTGGCAAAGTATTTGCGAAACGTGGTGCAAAAAACGTTTACACAATCGATAGAGGTGCAGCAAAAGAAAATATAACAGTTATCTTTGCTTTTTCAGCTAATGGGGAAATTGGTGTACCTATGATCATTTACCCCTACGTGAGATTTCCTGAAAAGATTGCTAAATCAGTAAACCCAGAGTGGGGCATCGGTCGTAGCCCTAAAGGATGGATGACCAGCGAAACATTCTATGAATATATTGTGAACGTCTTCCATCCTCATCTTGTGAAACATAATATTAAGTTTCCAGTGATCTTGTTCTTGGTTGGTCAAAAGTTCCATCTTAATTATAGTTTAAGCCTCCTGTGTAAAAGGTTACAAATAGAAATATTCGCTTTATATCCAAATTCGACCAGGATATTACAACCATGCGATGTTGCTGCTTTCCGACCACTTAAGCAAGCTTGGCGCCGGACAGTCAGAGAATGGGAAGAAGAGCACCAATCTGAACTTCTCAATAAAGTGAATTTTGCTCCTGTCGTAGAAAAAGCTTTTAAATCCAGTATAAAACCTGAAAGACTGGTTAATGGTTTCAAAGCATGTGGGCTATTTCCGTTCAACCCAAATGTGATCGATTACACTAAATGTCTAGGAGCTAAAAGCACAAACCACACAATAATTCAGGATGTTCCTCTATTGCAAAATCAGACCATGGATTACAAAACATTTGTTCAGATTGTAGGCCAAGAAAGGATTAACAAATTTGACATATTGAGTCAGCAGGTTCCCGAAATCTGTAATGATGATTTTATGTCACTTTTTAAACTTTGGCAATATTTCCACAGAACAAGTGATCAAAATAAGGTACATTCAGACCTAATATCAGAGACTCATTCAGAAGCAAACGGATCATCCTCTGACATGCAAGAAGGGTTACCAATTGTTAATCAGGATACTATAGAAAAAAACACACACCACCAACTACCACCAGTAGGAAGGAATGAGGCCACAGTTGATGTACTAGTGCATGCCCCAAGATCTCTCAGAGATTTGCAAAATTTAGACACAGCTACAGCTTCATCCATGACGCCACGAATGAGCAATAGTGTCCGTCCCATTAATTCTGAGCTATTCGGTCAATATTTCACAATTCCAGAAAGTCCAAGAAGGAAAGGCAAGAGAAATGTCGAGAGAATTCCATTTGCCATTACATCAAAAAAATGTCAAGAATTCTTTGAGAAGAAGCAACAGATAAAAGAAAGAGAAGAAAAGGAAAAAGAAGAGAGAAAAAGAAAACGTGAAGAAAAAGCAAATTTAAAAAAAGATACTAAAGCCAAATCGCAAATAAGAAGGAAGCGTGAAGGACACAAATGCTTTATTTGCAAAAACAACATTGGTAGTATTGACATGCAATTTGAAACATGCAAAAATTTTTTCCATCAAAGCTGCATACCCAAAGCACATAAGCAGTTCATCACTAATCAGGAAGATCCAGACGAAATTTTTTTGTGTCACATGTGCTATAAAGAAGACAATACAGATAGCAGCATCTCCGATTCTGACGGCAGCCAATCAGGTCAATCCGACTCAGAGGTCGACAAGCTTTATCGGTTGTACCAAGAATACGCGAAACAAAAGACATGAACTTCAACCTTCATCCTTTTGCTAGTTGTAAGTAAAATGTATTTTGGTTGTGAAAATTAATAAAGGATGCAAAAATCAGCCAGTCTATATTGATCTGTAGTTTCCATTGTGGATGTCCAATAACTATCTGTAGTGTGTCCGATAAATATCAGAACTGTCCAATAACTATACTTTTTTGTATTGTTTGTCTTTTATTTTTTTTTTTTCAAAAACATACTTTCCTCAAACACGTATCATTCATACTTCTCTAATAAAGCAACAAAAATCGTTTTAGAAAATGAAAGAGTTTTTGTAAATATACAATAGATAATGATTTTATGAGGAATTGAAAACAAATAAATCTTAAGTGTCCGATAACTGTATGGTTTACCCTACTATCCTTGCTGAATTATTTTCAACAAGAAAAGGATAATGGAGGGCCTCTATTACCATTGTTAGCTGTCCAAGAGGTTTGTAATAGTTAGAAATATGGTCATATGATTGACAATTTATTCTATATTATTTTTCAGAGGGTGGCTCAGGCACTAAGTATCAGTTTGTCCACTATTACCAGAATACAGTGCCGTTTATCATCTAATGATAATGTCCTAAGATCACCTGGAAAGAAGAGACCCAGAAAAAAGTCTAAGACAACAGATTTATCTGATGCAGTCAGGCATAATATACGAGATACAGTGTATCAAATGTATAGTGAAAGTAATGATAATGAGCATGAGATGGTACATTCCAAATTATTGATTTTTTGTTTTGTTTCAGAGAAACATGTCACAATAGCAAGTTTGAATAAAACGCTTAAAGAGAAAGAGCTTGCTTCTATCAGCAATAGCTCTTTACAAAGAGTGCTGCCCACCATAGGCTTTAAATATAAAAAAGATGGTAATAGAAGATTTCTAGTTGAGCAATCCAGTATTGCTTTACTTCGCACCAATGTGAAGGAGAAGTTATAATGACTATGTGAACACTTCCTCGCATCAAATTGTTTTCATGGATGAAACATGGATATTTTCAAAAGGCAGTCCAAAAAAGTCTTGGCAAGATGAGTCAATCAAAAGTGTAAGGAGACCATTGGGCTTTCAAGGAAAGCGATTTATTGTTGTCCATGCAGGGAGCGAAAAAGGATTTGTTGATGGAGCAAGTCTGTTATTTTCCTCACAGTCTAAATCTGCAGATTACCATGGTGATATGAACGGCGAGACATTCATTAAGTGGTTAAAAGAAAAACTCCTCTGCAAATTGGAAGAGCCATCAGTGATAATTATGGATAATGCATCCTATCATAGCATTTTATTGGAAAAGACTCCAAACACAAGTTCTCCAAAAAAAGAGATTATTGACTGGCTGGTTAACCCTTAACTGGCGTGGTGACGTCCCTGGGACCACTGAGAATGCGTTTACAGACGCTCCCCCACCACTTTTCAGAATTTCGGCTTGCGCGTTCATATACCTCTCAGTCAGTGTGTGTTCAACTCTAGGCTGGAGTGTCACTGTTTTATCGCTTTCCGTTTTTGCGTAAATGAGTGGTCGGTGTCCCAGGGACGTCACAACGGTAAGAACGCTATAAAACTCGCATTGGTATTTTTTGCTACAGTTTTTTTTTTCAATGTAACGTAGGTACAAAATGGCTGACAGACCTATACCTGGAACGTATGAAACTAGATGATCCAGATTTTGAACGTAAAGTGATGCGAATGTTGGAGTCTCTGGATTCAGATGTTGAGCTATCGGAAATAGAAGAAGACGATCAATATTCAGAAAGCGAACACGATACAGATTCAGCCATTTGTGCAGATGAAGATGGACCCGCCAGTGAAGGAAGCGTTCGTTCAAGTGAATCAGAAGGTAACGACGAGAATGAACTAAATATGGATGTCAGGTACTTTTATGGCAAAAATAGGTTTAAATGGTCGGTAAATCCTCCGAATAGAAATGTGAGAACTCCGGCGCATAATATCATCAAGGTACCAACATCTAGGTCTTCTGCAACAAAATTAGATCCTTTGACTGCCTTCATGTCCATATTTACGGAGGAAATGATGGATCAAATTCAGGAATGGACCAACAAAAGAATACAGAGCTCTAGGTCAAAATTTTTCGTCCCCTCAAGAACTGAACTCAGAGATACTACTAAAGAAGAAATTAGGTGCTTCATAGGACTTCTAATCTACACGGCCGTTTTTAAGTCCAACCATGAGGATATAGCGTCACTTTTTGCAAAGGACGGTACCGGACGGGAAATATTTAGGCTTTCTTTATCAGCAAAACGTTTTATTATACTTCTAAATTGTTTAAGATTTGACAATCCAGATGATAGAAACTACCGAAAAGAAGCCAACCCATGTGTAGCGGTATCAGAATTATTGAACAGATTCAACGAAAATTCGCAGGCTTCATATTCTTTAGGTTCTAGCACAACCGTAGACGAAATGCTAATAGCCTTTCGTGGACACTGCCGGTTCAAAATGTATATGTCATCAAAACCTGCAAAGTACGGCTTAAAACTGCAATGTCTTACTGTTGCCAGAACAGGCTATGTTTATAATACATATTTATATTGCGGCAAAGGAAGCGACAGCATCGGTCTTTCTCAACATGAAAAGAAATTTGGGATTGCCACCCAAGCAGTAATAAAGTTGTGCAAGCCTATATTCGGGACCAACCGTAACGTCACTACGGATAATTGGTACACTTCGATGGACGTAGCTCAAGTTCTCAAAGAAAATGGACTTACTTTGGTTGGAACTTTGAAAAAAAACAAAAGAGAGGTTCCCAATGATTTTCAGCCATCTTGTAGAAGGCAAATAGGTTCTTTAATTTACGGATTTACCAAAGACTACACGCTACTGTCATATGTACCAAAGAAAAGTAAGGCCGTATTACTGCTATCGTCTATGCATCATGCTGTAGGGACAGATCCTGTTACTAAGAAACCAGAAATAATCGACAATAGGCTCCTACACACGGACGTGGATGTATGAAGACATGTACGTACATACATGAACGCGCAACCAAAACCGTCAATGTGTATGCAAAATTGCATTGCGTGTTTGAACGTGCAAACAGTGGAACGACGCGCTGATGAATTCTGTAATCGCTAGAAATTTTGTATGCGCGTTCAGGTTGAAGCTGCGTGTGGAGGCAAAAACTTATATGTATTTGCGTGTTTTATCAGTAGCGTAGTAAATTTGTTGTATCAAGGGAGTCAAAGTTTAAGACACGAGTAAATTAAGATGTCTCACTGCAGAACAATGTCCCGTGCATTTGTGCAGGAATTTATTGGAATCTACAAAGAACTACCTTGCCTGTGGCAGACAAAATCTAAAGAATATTTGGATAGAAATAAAAAGAATGAAGCCTATAAGATATTGGTGAAAAAACTGCAAACTATTCAACCCGATGCAACAAAAAATACTGTGGTAACTAAAATTAATAGTCTTCGTGGTGGTTTTCGAAGGGAGTATAAAAAAGTTGTTAACTCGAAAAGAAGTGGTTCAGGTTCAGATGATATATACATACCTTCGTTATGGTACTACGACTTACTTCTGTTTCTTCGAGACCAGGATAATGATATGCACGACTCAGAGCTTTTTGAAACATATAACGAGGAAACTGGAAGCTTTGCTGAGACTGAGGAAGAGGTAAGTTAAAAAAAATGCATATTCATCTATTCATTTTCATTTATTTGACTATTTTAAATTCGCTCAAATACTAATGTATCATTCGTTCTTGCCAAGAAACAGCACCTTCTTGATTAAAGTACTGATTAAATAATTGTCGCACTTGATTTGCTTCTCTGGTAAAGTTTCTACCATAGCCACCATGCAGACCAGCGAAAAGATTTGAATTTGGTCTAAGTCCTACTTGTACAGTACCGTCCATTATGTTTACTTGGTCAAAACACTCTGGGGGTGTATATGACTTGCCACACTTACGTCTTAAAAAATTATGAAGAACGCAGCAAGCCATTACCACTTTGTCTATTGATTCTGAGTGTAACCGAATAGCAGTTTGAAATACTTGAAATCTTGCAGACAATATTCCAAATGAATTCTCTATTTTGCTTCTTCCTCGAGATAATCGGTAATTGAAAATTTTTCTGTCATGATCCAGATCTCTCTGACTATAAGGTTTTAAAAAATCTGTACGTAATGCAAAAGCCTCATCACCAATGAACACGAACGGCAGTTCTCTTTGACTATTTTGTGGATTTGAGGGCTGTGGCAGCCGTAGACTTCGACTTTTAAGTTTTTTGTAAAACTGAGTGTATGCAATAACCCCACCATCTGATATTCGTCCATTCACACCAAAATCACACATTATGAATTCACAATTTGCGTCACATATGGCCATCAGTACTAAGCTATAGTAGCCTTTGTAGTTATAATAATATGCTCCGCTATTTGGTGGCGGTATTATACTTACATGTTTGCCATCCACCGCCCCTATACAATTTGGAATTTTGCAACGGGCTTCAAAGACTCGAGCAATACTTCTCCATTCTGCTTCTGTTGTGGGAAACTGGAAATAAGGATATAAATAAAAATCACCCCTGTAAAATTTTAAGTTATTAACCAATTGCAACCAATTAAAAAAATATTTGTTGACTGCATGTAAAGTCTAATGTAACTCCGTTACTTTTAGTAAATTTTATGTGCTATTTTGTTTATCTGATAGTGGTCTATTGTTACAATTAACAAAAAAGTGTGTATGTGTGTGTATTTAAGTTGTCGTAACTCTTTATATTTATGAGATTTTGGTCACAGCTATTTGGAATGAGTAGATTGGAATTTTGATAAAAAATAGGTTACAAAAAATTATCCATTTTTGGCTAAAAAAAAGTAACGTAATATGGCCTGAAAATAGGAATAAACAATTTTAATTTTGTTCCGTATAGTAGACCTTTCATTAGTTGACATTTAAAAAAATGGCTGTAGTTGGTTGATAACGTAATATATTACACAGTATTAATTAAACTAAATGTTTTTTTTTGTTAAAGCAAGAAGATAATCCTAGAAATCTTAATATTGACAGTACTGAGAACGAATCTGGAAATAGTGTCCATTCACCTACGACTCCTTCTGCAGTTCTTATTGACAACACCCAATCTTCGTCATTGCAAAGCCATTCGATTACTCCTTCATTAAATAAAAGAGCTAAGCTTATGTTGAAAAAATCACAGGATCAAGCAAACAAAGCATATGAAATATTAAATGTTGTCCACGCAAAACTCGCTAACCCTGAGAATGAGTTTTCCCTGATAGGAAAGAACGTTGCTGTAAAACTGCGAAGATTGCCCATAACAACAAAAATTTACACAGAAAAATTAATTAATGACCTATTGTTCCAAGCAGAATTAGGGAAGGTTACTGAACATACGAGAATAATTTCAGAACCAGAAAAACTCATACAGGCGACACCACCAAACCGAACATTCCAGTTAAGTCGAGTATGGGAACAATCAGCACCCAATATTTGCTCCGGATTAGACTATGATGATTATCAGATTGCACAAAACACCGTATCAGCGCACCTAATACTAGAATAGAAAATTTGTCCACTACAGATTATTACTCCTCTTTAAATCCTACAGATTTTTCTTAATTATAACGTTTTTCATAAAATAATGGATAATATTTAAAGTTCCCTCTACTTGTGTTATATAATTAGATTACGTTACTTTGTAAAAAACTAGCTTTCTAAATAAAAATCAAACCTAAACTTCATGTATTTTTTGTGTAAAACTTGGTAGATTGCTTGACATGTTTCGGGAATTATTTCGCTTAAGGCTTGTGCAGATACTACTGTAGTAAATTTTAGGTCTTGGTAATTTCTTCCAGTTGCTAAATACCTTAGCGTTGCACTTAGTCGTTCGTGTGGAGATATTGCGGTTCTCATCATTGTATCTTGGCGTTTTATTAATGGAGTAACCATGTTCAAAAGTTCCACATAAGTTTCTTCGTCCATCCTAAGGTAACTGCGCCAGTCGTCAGGTTCTAATTTCAATTCTTCTAGAAGATTAATATGGGAAAAAGTTTGCCGTTTTAAAAGCCAATTTCTAGACCAATATTCCTCCTCGCACAACATCGCTCACTTTGCAGGTCACTTGCCAGAACACTGATAGTTTTGTACTAACGTCTTTAGGCTAGCGATGTACACGTTTTTGGTTTCGCGTTCATGTGTGTACGTACATGTCTTCATACATCCACATCCGTGTGTAGGGGCCTTATTATAATACGACTAAAGGCGGAGTAGATACTATAGGCGGCTACAGACACACGCTTATGACTTAATACATAAACGCGCGTTCGTAAATGCGCACTCAATAACGTCAATGTGTATGCAGATATCGGCAGCGTTCATGAACGTGCGTTCACGATTGGCGTGGCGTGCAAATTTCAGTTCTCTACAGAAATTTTAAACGCACGTGCAGAGACGCGCATGCAAGTCTCAACGTGTAGAGGCAAAAGAACGTGCGAATTCCGCAGACAATCAGATGTCAGTGCCGTTGATCAACGAAGTACGAATTATCTTCGAGTAAGTAATTTTCATTGATTGTAGAGATGTCTGACATCAGAACAGTGACTCGAGACTTCACAAGAGAATTCATAGAATTGTAAGGGCACATCCTTGTCTCTGGCAAACGAAAGCAAAAGAATATCTAGATAAAAATAAAAAAATGCAGCATATACATTGTTAGAGGAAAAGTTACAAAGTATTCAACCTAATGCTACAAAACAATCAGTCATAACAAAAATTAATACTCTGCGTGGTGGTTTCCGAAGAGAACATAAAAAAGTACAAAATTCGAAAAGAAGTGGATCTGCGTTGGAAGATGTATATGTGCCATCCCTGTGGTATTACGAATTACTGTTATTTCTTAAAGATCAAGAGATACCAAGACAGTCTGTTTCAAATATTGAAAGTGAAGAAGAAGTGCATGATGACGTGTTAGAGACGCAAATAGATGAAGAGGAGAATGGAAGAGAGGTAGGTCAATAACTAAATAAAGTATATGTTTAATATTTACTTTACTGATATGTAAAAAGTAGGTGGTGTACAATCTTCCAAATTGTAGCAGCCAGCTTTAATTTTTAAGTGATAATAATTCAGAAAACTACTTCTTAAACTGACTAAAAAAGCAAAAATTTTGATTGTTATGATGGCACCATTAATTATTATTGTATCATTCGTTCTTGCCAACTCAGAGCCCCTTCTTCGTTAAAAAATTGAGTAAGCTCTCGACGCACATGACTTGCTTCGCTACTGAAGTTTCTGCTATGGCTACGTTGCAGGTTTGCTAGTTGCGAAGGATTTGCTTTAAGCCCCATTTGCACCGTTCCGTCTGTACGATTTTCTTGATCTAAAGAATCCATTGGTATGTAAAACTGACTGCATTTGCGTCTTAAGAAATTATGCAGGACGCAGCAAGCCATTACGACCTTGTCTATCGATTCTATCTGTAGACTGATAGCTGACTGAAGTACCTGAAATCTTGCTGATAGTATCCCAAATGAATTTTCAATTTTGCATCGTGCCCTTGATAAGCGGTAATCATAAATTTTTCATGATTCAGGTCGTTTTGACTGTAAGGTTTTAAGAAATCACTATGTAATGCAAAAGCTTCATCTCCAACGAATACAAATGATAGCTCTCTATCACTGTTTCGTGGGCAAGTTGCAGGTGGCAGCTTTAATGTTTTATTTTTTAATTTTGTGTAGAAATGAGTGCATGCTATGACTCCTCCATCCGATATTCGACCGTTGGTACTAAAATCACACATTATAAATTCATAATTTGCATTGCATATAGCCTTTAGTTCTAAACTGTTATAACCCTTGTAATTATAATAAAATGCTCCGCTGCCCGGTGGTGGTTTGATTTGAACATGCTTGCCATCTACGGCTCCTACACAATTAAGAAAGTTGCATACTTCTTCAAAGCCTTCAGAGATACTTTTCCATTCTGTTTCTGTTGTATGAAACTGTAAAAAATATCAATTATAAAACATATAAATATATAATATAATATGTGTGTATTATTTTCAGGTAGGTGATGCCGTATCTGAACAAACTGAAATGGAGGCACATTCAGAACATAATATGGCGAGCACATCAAGACCTTCATCAGCACTATCCAGTCGATCAACACCACATTTACCCAAAAGGTCCAAAAAATTCAAAGCACACCACCAAAATATTAATAAAGCAGATCGGATATTAGACATTGTCGGTACAGGACTCAATAAACCGGCAGACGAGTTCGACCTTATGGGAAAATCGATAGCAATCAAATTACGGCGATTGCCAAGAGAAATACGACTATATTCAGAAAAATTAATAAACGATATCCTATTTCAAGCGGAGTTAGGAAAAGTTAACGAACATACAAGAAAAACGTCCGAACCAACACCAATTAATAATAGTAATACATTATTCCCTCCGCTACCAAACTGTGATCCCATCTAGACTCAGTCTACACCAACCAACCAACCAACAACAATTAATAATAGTAATACAGCTGCTGTGTATTACGGCTCTTATAATCCTTTACAATAATTAATATTATACTGTTATGGATATGCTGTTATGTTTTTCCTTATTTAATGAAAATATGTTTTTCTTACCTTCATGTATTTTTGCTGTAGTACTTGGTATATAGATGAGCATGTTTCAGGAATTATTTCGCTCAACGCGTGCGGAGATATTATCGTAGAAAATCTTAAATAATTTCGTCCAGACGTCAAATATCGAAGGGTTGCGGTTAACCGTTCGTGTGCACTTATTGCAGATCTCATAACTGTGTCCTGACGTTTTATTAGTGAAGTAACCATTTTTAACAATTCTACATAGGTATCCTCATCCATTCGTAGATAATTACGCCAATCAACGGGTTCTCCTTTCAATTCTTCCAATAAGTTAATATGTGAAAATGACTGTCTTTTCAAAAGCCATTCCTTAGACTACAGGCGACGACGCTTTTTCGACTTTTTGGCACTTTTTAAAACGTAATCGCACGCCACTGCCATAACAGCAAGCTCCTCATCGGACGACATCACAACTTCTTCCGTCGCGCACACCGATTAAAAGTCGGTAGAAAAGTTTGAGCGTCTGTACATAAAGCAAATTCGTGTCTATGCATGCACGTTAATGCACGCGCGTTCATAAATTCAGTCATCAGCGTGCGTCTGTAGCCGCCTTATGGATCAAAAGTGCAGTGTCTATTCGTCCAGCCGTCGAACGCGTCGCTGGACTATGGCCATATTTTTTCGTATCTTAGATATGAGTGTTGTCAATGCCTACATTTTACATCAATCTCTCCATGATAGAGAAATTTTAACTCGATCACAGTTCATGAAGACAGTACCAAAACAATTAATAGAGCCATATATGAGAATTTGTCTTCAAAATGCGAGGTTACCACGCGACCTCAGACTGTCCATTTCACGAGTCCTTGGTGAAGGGTTATATACAGCTGAAAGTAGCCAATCTGATAAGTTAGAACGTTCAGAAAGGAATGCATGTTCAATATGTCCTGCAAAAAAGCGAAGAAAAACAGCTTACTTGTATTATGCATGTAGACATCCAATATGTTTAGAATGTAGTAAAACGTTCTGAGCATCCTGTGCTTCAGAAAGTAGTGCACAATGAACTATTGCACATTTTTTATCTAAGAGTGTAATATTGCCTTTATATATTTTTCTTTGTTCAATAATGTTCAAGCTATTCGAAAAGTGTTTTTGATTTTCAATTTTTTTTTGTTATGTTGCTACTGAATAAAATCTTGAGCATTGTCTTTTCGTTTTGTAAAACTTTCTTAGTAAATTATACTCAAATTAAAACTATGTTTTTTTTTATATTTGGGAACGGTGTGACATGAATGAATTATTTACATGTTAATGCATTTCTCAAAAATGTTTGACTTTGATACTACACACAGAATGTTTTTGTTACGGATTTAATTACGGGGTCCCAAGGACGTCAGGACGCCATAAATGCAAAAATAATCCACTACGGGAGTTAAGGGTTAAAAATGAAATTGTGTTCCAACCAACATTAACTAAAGTGGAGTTATTGAATATAGTGAAAAGAAATCGTAAGGAAAAGAAGTATTTAATAGATGAAATCATAAGAACTTATGGACATGAAGTTCTTCGTAACCCCCCCCCCCCCCATACCAGTGTGAATTTAATGCCATCGAGTTAATATGTGCCAATGCTAAGCAGTATTATGATAGACATATTGGAAGATGTGGTCAGAGTGACGAAAATGTTTTAGTTATGTGGAATGAAGCTCTGTCAGAAATTACACCAGAGGTTTGGAAAAAATGTGTGAAGCATACCCATGATGTAATTTTAAAGTGGTACAACAAAACTATTACTCGTGAAATAGAACCACTGATAATCTCATTTGATTCAGATAGCGATACTGAATCTGACAGTAGCGATTAATTTTTAATCTGAATTTGTTACCATAAATAATGGACTAACATATTGAAATGTACAATTTATTTTATTTGTTATATGTTTTATATAATTTTGTAGCTTATGTTAAAATGAATAGTGGATGGCATGACATGAAATAGTACAAAAATATTTTCACTTTGGTATGCTTATTTGTGTTTGTATTTTTTTTTATAGAATAAAACCATGTTCTCAGGATCAATTGGTCGTTTTAACCCTTAAACGCCGATTCGGGGTCCCGCTATGACCCCAAGTGACAATTTTATCTGATATCCTTATTATTTGAACACATTGGCAGCGTTGCTTCTAGGTATGTGTTGGTAAATGCTTGACCAACAATATTTCAGTATGCTGCGGCGAATCGTAGTGATCGTGTCTAGTAATTAGCGTTATAGGTAAGTGGGGTCCCGCTGCGACCCCGGTTCGGCATTAAGCGGTACCAAAGATTTGCGACAATAAATGTATATTTTTCAGATATTTCGCTTAAAATGAACCGTTGGGAGCAAACTAGGCCACTTCCACAGAAAGAACTGGAAGAAATAATCAACGAAACTGATTTTGATGCTGAAATTGGGAGTGGAAGCGATGAAGAATCGGGCAATGAGGAGGATCAAAATGTGATGGTGGAGAATGTGTCGGAAACGGAGGACCACCTAGAAATACACAGTGAAGTGGAGTCAGACGAAGAATATACCGAATCTCAAGAAGCCGCAGGTGCCACATATACTGCTAAATCAGGTCTTCAATGGAATAGTAAACCTTTTGTTAGAACTAGACGACTACAAAAAAATATTATAGATGCACGTCCAGGAGTTACAAATTACAGTAAAGGAGCTAACACATTTTTATATATTTTTAACTTATTTTTGACAAAGGAAATGAAAGAAATTATTTGTCGTTACACCAATGAAGAAGCTACAAGATATTTTGATGAGTGGAATATCAAAAATCCAAATCGTAAAAAAGAATGGTCGATTCTTGAAGAAGATGAACTTGACAGCTTCTTAGAGCTCTTGTTGACGGCAACGGCCAACGGTCCGTTTTTAAAAACGGACCGGTGCCCGTAGTTCAGTAATCTTCAGGTCTATATGAACGTTTGTTCACGCAACGGGAGTCAATCCGTTGGCTGCCTTCCCGACGGCTACATATCCGATCTCCCTCGAGCGACGGTCATCGGCCCGATGCAGTGAATCGTGCAAGTGAATGCAAGTCTGTTGAAGACGTCGGACGGACATCCGTTTTAGCTCCCCAACAATTTTGTTTAGTTTGTGTTTAAAAGGCTCCACGTGTGTACATAAAATATGGATCACCAAATTGATATAGAAGCTTTAATTAGTGCCGTGGAAAAGAGACCAGTACTATGGGACAAAACACAGAGATTTACAAAAATAAGCAGCTCAATTTTACGGCATGGAAAGAAATCTGCATGATTTTACATGAAAGCTTCGATACATTATCGGACAAAGAAAAAAACGATTTTGGTAAGTTTTCATTATTTATTTAAGAATTAGAATAGAAATACATACAACATTTCTTAAGCATATTGATTCTGCCACTGCAATCTCTCCTCTGGTGTCATAAAACACTCCGCAAATTTATTGCGGATATTATTGGCTGCTAAAGAACCTCTTACCGAATTTGAACTAGGTATATCGAGCAGGGCGGAATCAGAGTCAGTAGCAAATAAATCACTTGACATATTATTAATAATTCCTTCTTCTTTGTGGATAAAATTTTGCAACAAACAACAAGTTTTTACTATGTCGACTGCTAAATCCGTTGATACATTTAATGGTCGATGGAAAATTCGCCATTTATTCGCCATTATCCCAAACGCACATTCAACGTACCGCCTTGCTCTTGTCAGGCGATAGTTAAATGTTCTTTTTACATCATCGAGTTGATGCCCACCAAACGGGCGAAGTAAATGTTCATGTAATGCGAATGCCTCGTCCGCAACAAATACATAGGGTAGTTCACACCGAGTTCCCAATTTGTTGGTATATGGTGGTATATTTAATCTATTGTTCACTAAACTTTTCCAAAACTCTGTTTCCTTAAATACAGCCGAATCGCATTCTTTGCCATAGGCACCAACATCAATGAAAATAAAATTATAATTTGAGTCTACCACAGCCATCAACACAATTGAAAAATAATGTTTATAGTTTAGAAACATTGAACCACTTTCTTCTGGCTTTATAACTCGTATGTGTTTCCCGTCTACCGCTCCTAAGCACAAAGGAAAATTCGATGCACTCTCAAAATTGTTTGCTATCATTAACCACTCCTCTTCTGACGGAATTTTCATATATATCTGCAATTCGAACCATATTGCTTTACATACTTCTCGAACAATATAACTTATAGTTTTAATTCCCATTCTAAATGTGTATTGAAGATCCGTGAATGTATTTCCTGATGCCAAGTATCTGTAAAAAAAAACTACAAATAATGTTATTTATTAATGTTTTTATTTTCAGGCAAAGAAGTTATAAAGAAGTGGGGTAATGCAAGAGATAACTGGATGAGATGTTCTAAGAAAATGAAAGAGTACAAGTCAGGTTCTGGAGCAAAGCCAATTACAAAATATAAATTTTATGAGCATATCCAATTTTTAAATAAAATTGTGAGTCATCGACCAACAGAAACAAATATGCCACCTGCTGAAACCGACGTAGAAACCGCGGTCAAAGATGACTGTTCAGTCCCAAAAAAGAGAGGGAAGAAAGAAGTTAAAGAGGATCCCTTGAACAAAAGGATTAGTAACCTACTAGACTCTTCCGAAAAAGAAGACAATAGCAGAATAATGTGTTTTTTTAAAGGAATTGCACCGACCATAGAAAAATTTTGTGATGCTGATATCGTAAATTTTCAGTACGAGGTAATTAAAGCCATGCGAAACATTCAGAAAAAAATATGCCGCAGCATAGTTTGCAGCCCCAGAGAAATTACTATGAAAACAACAATTCAATGACATTTCAATCACAATCACTTCAGATTGCCCAGAATAATATGAATTCAAATACATATGGGGGATATCGTACTACACCATCGACTTCAACTACAAATTATAGTGAAAATACATTGAACGAATCACGTCAATATGAAACATTACATGTTAG